ATTATTAGAGATTATTATTAATTCAACATTAAATCATAGATATTAATTGAACAATGTGCTGTGATTTCGCATTGTAACGAAACGCTATAATCTCGGTAGCGTCGGTAGCGGTCAGGGTATCGCGGCATTCTTGCCTACAAATTCTTCCTCGTCATATTCTCACTCGATCGCGGATCCAACTGACGTAATCGACATTGGGATCGCGCGAGATCGATAAATCTTCACGCCCGCGATCGCTCGCTCGTTTCCCATGAAGAAACGGGTCTTCCATCGCCGCGCCGCGGCATTCCGCTGATGCGAGTAAACGAGCAAATTCGTAGGTTGGGGTCCCCCCTACGGGCCCTACGGTACGCCACGTCCGATCGAATCCCATAAGTCACGGGACTCGAATACTGTGTTTAAGCAGCGAGCTCATTCTCTCGTCCATTATCCCCGTGCGTGTAAGGCCCCGAAATGTTTTTTCGAGATCCTTGCCTTCGAAGGGAACGCGAAGTCGAGGCACGCAAAGCACAATACATAAAAATTATCCTTGGCCGATCCCAAATCGATCCATAAAATTTCGGCGAGATTTTATATTTCTATTACGACATATGTTATTTAATTTTGTCGAAAAGGCAAGCAGTTATGTATCTTAATTTAAAATTTTTTTTCTAAAATAAGAAACAATTAAAGAGTTTAAACTCATATCTATATATTATGTAAATATATGTAAATTATTTAAATATATATGTCAAATTATACGGTTTTATTAAAAAAATTATTGATGACACACTAATAGATAATAAAAAATGCAATTATAAAGATTAAAGTATAATTAAATTAGAGAAGTTTCCTCACACCAATGTCCTCAGAAACTAACTGGTGAAGAAATCTAAAAGAAATTCCCATGCTGAGATATTGTTTATAAAAAAGCTTATGCTTTCAAATTTCATGCAATTCTTAACATTTCTGATTCTCCATTCTCCTATTCTTTTTTTAAACAGTTCTTCTTAAATCTGTATTATTTTTTATTTTAGGAGATCTGAAGAGGCGACACTCCTGGAGTAGCGAAATCGACCATCAATTGGAGGAAACGGAAGCTATAACTATCTCAGGGGAAGATCCCGCTGTTCCAGCCTCGTCGATCAACGATAGAATCTCCAAGGTACCATACGATATCATACGAATCGTTTTCGGTCCTCTCCTTTAAAAAAGCCAACATTGTAAGCATATTAAAGGCTTATAGAAAGTCGAGGAGAAAGATATATAATTCCTTGTTGGAATATATTGATATGTGCTTTAAGTCGTTTTTTAGCTCTAGTTCTTATTGTTCGATATAATTCTGAATTTATATTAAAACATATACGCACACAACGCGCCTATACATACAATTTTAAAAAGCCACGTCACAACTGTGCATATATAGTAAAAATTAATAACAGCTTAAAATTAATGTACGCTTAGAAATTGCCGCGGTCATTTATTCGCGCGCAGGAAAGAGGCGACAACCGTAAATTTCCATGGCGCGGTAAAGTACGAGCCGGAACCCTGCGCCAAAGAGAGCTCCGCCAAATAATTCATTTCGGCGACTCGCCGCGGGTTAATTGAACGCCTATGAGACGCATTAATAATCCACTTTCTGTGTGAACGGGAAAAGACGGCTTCTCCACCTCCACTGACGGCGGGAGGGGTGAGAATCCGGTACAAATTATCCGGACCCCCTTCCGGGTCGCCGAAGTCCGATCAGACTCGAATATGTTGTCTCTCTTTTTTTAATATTATGTAATTCGGAGGGGGATTTTCTTTTTTTTGTTAATATTACGTATACCTGAATATTTTTTCTCTGTTATGCAATTTTGAACATTAATTTTTTTTACCGTATCTTTAATTTATTTGTAAAAATACGCAACATTTCTTGAAAACAAACAGGTGAGAATAAGGTGAGAATAACAAATCTAGAAATCCAGCAGAAAAATGCAAGTAAACGAGTTGCATAAGGAAGGCATTTATTTCGCAAGAATATACTCTTTCTTAAAAGATATAAAAAATATAAAGGGAACGTACGCGTATCACATCTTAGCTTTCTGCTTCAGCTTCGTTCCGAGTGGCTAGTCGTGTTCTAGAAATGCAGAGATGCGACGCGATATCGATAGAGAAATATCACGCATATTACGCGTCCCACGAATAATAGTGATTATTAATTCAACCGAAAAATGCTAGAAGAGAGTGATACATACTGAACGAATTTATTAGTTTAGAATAGCTAGAGAAAAAAATAATTAAACTACAGCAAGCTATAAATAAAAATTCTACAAATTATAATTATTTATATGTATACTTATGTTTCGTTTTGCGTTTTTATTTTAATTAATATAAAGATTTGTAATTTTGTAATAAGATTTAATATACTATTCTTGTGTCTTCGTTATTAAATTTTGATCTGACAGAGAATGTATTTTCCAGGAGTATGGCCGTTCGGTGCAGACGGTGGACCTGGTGGCGGACTGCCCGTTGCAGGTTGTGACGGGCGACTCGAGATCGCCGACACTCTCGAGAACGCCGACACCTTCCCCGACGTCCGTCGCGTCGACGACGAGCATGGGGCAACGATCGAGCACCCTGTTACGCCCCAGAATCTCGCTAACGTGGGTCTTGCGCGGCCAACAACAATCTAACTTGGGTCCTGGATCTAACAACTATTCGACTATTAATGGCAGTGGAGGTAAATGTCATTTCTTTTTTATTATTCCTCATTCTTCTTATTTATTTTTGAACAGTATAACGTTATCGAGAGTCATATTATTGAGTAATAAGAAAGTCACTTAAACTTTTAATAAAGCATTTTTAACATAGAAATTATATGCTACAATATTATATTATCTTGTATATCTTGATAAAATTATGCATTTTTTTTTAAAAGGTACAAACAATGATCGAGACGCTTTTTCGCGGGGCAGCAAGAGATCCTCGAGAAGAAGCGTTAAAAGTGTCAAGGAGAAAGACGCTGCTAGCAAGGAAAATATTGAGAACAAGGAGAGCATTGAGAAGCGCGAGAAGAAGATTTTGCACAGGCTCCAGAAGATCGAAAGAATCGAAAAGGTAATCTGTAATCTTTATTTCCCAACTCGAGATATAAACTTTCTTTTATAGATAAATTCTTTCATTATTTTAAGTTTATTAGTATTGAATTTAACGAGTACGTTTTATTACTTTCAAATATTCTTTTCGAAGACTATTGGCAAAGAAACAATCGGTGAGAAGCAGTTGGATAGTCCTCTGGAGAAGCACTTTGACAAAGAATTTATCGGTCTCAAAGATACGAAGGAAAAGGAGAAAGTGAAGAGAGCCGTATCTGAGCCTTCCCTAGTATCTCGTGAATCAACGTCGACACCCAACGGACGAGAAAAACATCGGCATAGGCGGACCAAACGTTCGCACAAACCTAGATTACCAAGCAGATTCGGCTACGAGATCGCCGATCTCGACGCGTTCCTGACCAAGGTGTTTTTTATCTTTTATTTATCTTGTATACTACTATATTTTTTTTATTCTTTATGGAAATTAATATATCCAGTATTTCATATACTTATGAATATTATGAATATTAAAATACTTTTGATTCAGAACATTAATAATTAATTAATTTGAGATTTAGTCCAGTTAAATTTCAACGATCGATTTAAAAGCAAATTTTTCTAATAAAAATTTGATAAGGGTTTATCAATTGACATTGTTTCTAATTTTGGACGTTATATATCAACAATATGAAATTTGTTATACTAGAATACTAGATACATGTTAATAAAGTAATAAACTAAATAAAATAATTACTCCAGAGAGCGTCTCTTTGGTTTTTACTGCTTCTAGAACATTTTTTAGGAGATAAAGAGTATACAATTTACAATTGTAATCTTAGGCATCCATAGAGAGACCAGCAAACATCCCAGTTGTCCTGTCTTTCCCGTCGGTATTATATCAAACTCAAGGCGGCGTACAAGATGAGATGGCTCTTCCTCTGGGTACAGTCGTGAACGCCGTCTTCAAGAACCAAACTTGGTTATATGTGCAAACGCCTCACGGACAAGAGGGGTACGTCGGCTATGCCGCCTGTTTGCCCTTGGGTATCTTACCTCAACCTACGCGAGGACCATGCTGGGAAGACTCCACTGATGTTTTTCCCCGGCCATTAGGTAAGCAAAATTTAGATTTCATTTAATTTTATTTTGTCCGTAATTCAATTTTGCTCAGAATTTTCTATCAAATAGAATAAAGTACGTTTTTATCATACTTTTTTATTACACTTCAGTTTTTCTAATTGGCTTTTCCGTTTTCTCCAGGAAACATGACGGACATGGAGAAACTGCGTGACACCAGGTCCGAATGCGGAGCGAGTCGCGGGCGCAACAGCAGAATGAGACGAGGACCAAGAGACGCAGTGTCGGCATGCGGTGAACGCAGTGTCGATCGGTTGTACCTGAGGGCAGCGGCAAACGCACGCACCAAAGGCTCACGGCACACGCTTCTGGTGATCAGGAATGACTACGAGGCGCGTGCCGCAAACGCCCTGACAGTTTCGAAAGGCGATGTGGTCGCCTTATTGAGTGACCACACGAACGATTGGTTCTGGGTGCGCTCCAGGGATGGCAGGGAAGGATTTATTCCAGCGGTTATCGCTGGACACGGTTTCCTCTGACTCCTTTCAATTGGAGAAATAGCCTCTCTCGTTCATGAAATTCATGAAGAAGTGATATCGCCCTCTCGAAGCAATATCTTTGAAGTATTGCCAAATTACTTGAGTAGATTCGAATTCAATAATAATTAATTTTGTAATTACGATATAAAGAATTTGGTCCCACACATTTTTGGAATAATAATTGTATTACAAGTAAAAGGGTTCTTTAGTTTCACAAATGTGATACCACAAATTCAGTATTTATATATTAAAGAAATATCAGTTTTAATTTAAAGTATATATATTAATTCCTTTTTATTAAATATATATATAAATTTTTGTTATTTATAAATAATGGATAAATAATGGAAAAAAAGAGTATGTGAACATTGGCTGTTTTAACCACTTTTGTGTTACTCTCTTTCATATTTGTCATGTAGTTATGTAGTAAGCGCAAAATGGATACGTAATATATAAGACTTATATTAATTATTTCTATTATTTTTTATTATAATTTTTAATTCTTTATTTTTATTCATCCTTATTTATATGTATAAGTAGAAGGAAAAAGGCAATGTGAAAAGTGCAATTATAAGGACAAATGCATATGTATCTCTGTATTTCATCGCGCAAATATTGCTTGTATATTTGTACAAAAGAAGAATTGTATCGTATAAAAAAACTGTACACTTAATTAATATATTTATTTAAAAAATCGGAATCTGGCAAATTAATTATATCCATTTCATCCGTTCAAATTTGAAAAAGGATAAAAATTTTTATGGGAAAATTAAATTCCCATTTTGTAATAACAAATTATTTTAATAATTATTATGCAAACTTGAGCGTCATTTCGCGGTAATTGAAGTTTGTACTGATGTCGATGCAGTTTGAGGAGCCGGCCACACTGAGCACCTTGTGTGGCGTTTCCTGGTGTACCACGCTGTATACGGTGAGATTCGATGTGGGAACTTTGGCTAGAACCTCACCTTGATACGTCATGTGATGAACATGGTCGGTCGAGCCTCCAGCAATCACGCGTTCCTCATAGATCTCTGCTACATGGATCCCTTGATCGGCCAGATCGAAAATTGTCGCTACCTCCATTGTTCGCATGTGCCACAATGATAAACTAGGTCCACCACCACATAGCTGTAACGCATGTATCATCAGTGTAGTTAAGAAAATATTAATTTACGTGCAATTCTTTATTTCTTTTTCATTATTTTAGTGTTCAATCTCCTTTTTAAGATAAATATATTATTGTTACGTACCAACCAGTCTTCGGTGAAATCAACAGCGCCAATCCACTTTCCGAATCGTGGTCGAGCAACTTTGTCTACTAAATGGGGCGTTAATATGTTAGTGTTCTCTTTTTTGCGCAAATCCCATAATCTCACAGAACCGTCCTCACTACAGGAGGCAAGCTGATTATCCCTGAAGTTTACACAAATTTTTTATAATTATGAAAATAGCCAGTATCACTTTTGCGCAATGTATTTTTCATAAATAATTACATTATGGCAAGGCAATGTATGTAATCAGTGTGGCCCTGCATGCTTCTCAGAATCTTTCTGTCCTCTAAGTTTATAACATAAATGTTATTATCACCACAGCCAACGTATAATAAATTATTCACTTTTGAATGCACCATATAATTTATGTCTGGCTTATCATAACTGTCTCTGAAAAGAAATACATATATATCTTATATTTTATTCTAAAATATGACGTTTTACTTTATATTCTTTTACTCTCACTTACTTATTAGCAGGAATTTGTATATTCCAAGCCATTTTACTTTTGGGAGCTTTATTCGACGTAACCACTTTCCAGTCCCATCCTGATATTTCACCACGTGTTCCGGTCACAAGAAAATTCTCCACAGAGAGCATGCATGCGACTTCTTGATCAGAATGCGCGGCAAAGCGATAACTAGGTCCTTGTAACTCATTCTCCTCCACCTTGTTGGGTCCTAAGGCCTTTGACAGGCTGTTTAAAAATTCAGCAATTATAAATTGAGCAATTCATCTGAAGAATTAAGCCCGATTTCATAAACATAAAGCAATGTATATACGTCTGAGCTGTTTTTAACTTTTTGCAGAATCACATTATTGCCGTAATATACTATACATTGTATGCGCTGTGGAAACACAAATAAGTGTCTTATTCAAATATTCCCTTACTCAAATACTGAGACGTCCCCATAAATATTGCCAGCCAGAAGATAATTTCCGTCGGGTGAAAATGTCTGTGACAGCACAGTGTTGTAAAGTAACTTCTTGTTGGTCGGGTCTATCATCTTTTCCACAATTTGTCGCATATACACGTACAGTCGGTCGTTTTTCTTTCTAATCACTTAATCATTTAAGTGCCTCCAATTTAAAAGTTTTTTTTTTTTTTTTACGCAAGTAGCCTAAAGACAACTCCGATATTTTTACCACCGAAGTTTTTAGGTTAGGATTAGGTTAGGAAAACGCCACAACTTCTACATAGAAGCCCACCGTTTCTGAAAATAAAGAAAAATATTTTAATAACAAGATCAAAGTTTACTTTTAGAAAGATTTAATTATGCGAATCTTTCATGTTGAGAAAAGAAAATTCGAAAAATCTCGCGCGTCGAAACACGTTTCGCGAACTTGAATAATATCAAGATCAATTTTTCTAACCTTGATCGTTTGCAACGTCATACGATAAAACGATTACGATGCGTTTCACGCGCGAAAGATAATGATAAAAAAAACCTCCAAGTACTTTGACGTATTTAATCACGTTGATAACACGATTGCGATAACCTGATCTGACTGCATTCCGCGCGATTTCGCATCGATCATGTGACCGCCGGCGCCGTTTCTTCCGTGGAAGGCGTGGATCATAGGACTATTCCAGTCTATCCGATTCGGCGTCTGCAGTGTCGTCTGTCGTGTGTCGGCGTGTCGGCCCAGTTGAGTTCTATTTCATCCGAAATTAGCTGAGGTTAGCTCCCGTTCAGCAAGGGAGAATCGTGAAGGATTATACTCCAAATGGCACATGCAACGAGGCTGCTCATAACAACCGGGAATTTCTTTAAAAACACCTGCAATCCCTTTTCGATGGCCGCGAGATTCTCTAGGTGAGACTTCGACTTTGCTTGTGACTGCTTGTGACGAATGACCTTTCGACCTTCGCGAAATTGTCCAGCTGCTGTACTCTGCTCTCCTCGACGCTACGGCTCAACGGAAATGCGATTGTCTTCGAGATCGGAATCTCGATTAAAATGGTCATAATTATTTTAATCAAAACTGAGATGTACAGTCACGAAACTATAGAAAAGTACTGTGTTGAGTACCAGCACAGAAGATGTAACAATTAAATTAATTGGAATTTAATTAATTGCAAAATATGAATATATATCTACTTTATTTTATGTATATATAAAGTAAAGAAAGAATCCAGGAAGAATACATTTATATCTTTTAATTCAAAATTATCTTTGATAAATATAAATTTTTATTATTTCATTGCTATATAGAATTCTTATTAAAGTAACTAATAACTTTATTTTGTGCTTAATTAGCCACACCTGTTATTTATTAGCAGTCTGCTTTTGAAAGATAACATTTAATCTTTCTGATACGAAATCAAAGATAACTGCAATTTATTTAAACAATATCCTTTACAGCTCATGGTGGTCTCATGTTGAAATGGGACCACCAGATGCCATTCTGGGAGTCACTGAGGCTTACAAGAGAGATCAGAATCCGAAAAAAGTCAATTTGGGTGCTGGCGCTTATAGAGATGATAATGGCAAACCGTATGTTCTTCCGAGTGTTCGTAAGGTTAGTAAATAAATAAGACCAATTCTAGAAGAGAACAATTAATATTACGTATACAGGTGTAATAGATTATTATATGTAATAAATATAATAAACATAAAATTTCACTTATTATAAGATATGATAAAAAATATATTTTGGATTATCTGTTACAGGCAGAAGAGAAAATACGAATCAAAGAAATGGACAAGGAATACTCGACAATTGCTGGCAATATCGAGTTTTGCCAGCAAAGTATTAATCTAGCTCTTGGAGATGGAAATGAAGTTGTCACAAATGGATTGGTGAGTATTATGATACAAAAATAATATGTAAAGCTTTTTCTTAACAAAGGTTTTCCTTTTTAGAATGCAACAATCCAAGGAATTTCTGGTACTGGTTCTCTGTTTGTTGGAGCACAATTTCTGTCTCATCATTTTGCTGGCAATAAGGACATTTATCTACCAACTCCTACTTGGGGGAATCACATTCCTCTTTTTAAACTTGCCGGGCTTACAGTCAAGTCCTATCGGTATTATGATCCGAAAACATGTGGTTTAGATTTTAAAGGATTAATGGAAGATATATCTGTTAGTATAAAATTTTTAACAAAAGTGATTAACCACTATTTTGATGCATGGATTGGCAAAAAATATTCAAAAGATTATCAAATATTAGTTACAATTTTGCATCGTATTATTTAAAATTATAACAACTGATGCTTATGTACTAATATTGTACAAAAGTATGTTTTTTAAATATTATTAATGTGATTTTTGAAAGATATAAATAATAATCACGATTGGGCATAAAAATTTACGAGACAACGCTCATAAAATCAATACTGCATTATATACTGATTAACGTTACAATTTTTAAGGAATTAATATTTTGTCGCACTAATGATGTTATCTGTGAATAGAATATCCCTGAGAGATCAATTATCCTTCTACATGCATGTGCTCACAATCCCACCGGTGTTGATCCCAAACCGGAACAATGGGGAGAATTGTCCACTCTGATAAAGAAGAAAAATCTGTTTCCATTCTTTGATATGGCATATCAAGGCTTTGCCTCAGGTATTTTTTAATGTAATCTATTATTTTATATTTTAACGTTTATTAATTATAATAATATATTTGTTAATATTAACCTTATAAGTCTTATCTAATAAGACTTACAATTTTAATACTTATCTAATCTCTTCTACTATCTTGATTTATTTTTCTATAGGAGATCTTACAAGAGATGCTCATGCAGTCAGACTATTCATTGAGGAAGGTCACAAAATTGCCTTAGCTCAATCCTTTGCAAAGAATATGGGTCTTTATGGTGCGTACAAGTAAAAATACTATACTATATGCGTGTATAAGTGTGTATAAGTAAAAATTATATAAGTGAATAAAATAAATATATTTTTCTTTTTTATTTCTTTAGGTGAACGCATTGGAGCGTTCAGTTTAGTAACATCTAGTAAGGACGAGGCTGCACGTACCCTGTCACAATTGAAGATTCTGATTAGGCCGATGTATTCAAACCCACCGATTTATGGAGCCCGTATAGTTAATGAGATCCTCAGCGATCCTGAATTGCGAAAGGAGTGGTTACGTGATGTGAAGGGTATGGCCGATCGTATTATTTCAGTTCGCACAAAGCTGCGTGACAATCTGAAGAAGAACGGCAGCACTCGTGATTGGTCTCACATTACGAATCAGATCGGAATGTTCTGTTACACTGGTCTAAAGCCAAACGAGGTGATTCTTTTTTCCTATATTGATACTTAAATATACATAAATAATAATTTTTATATTCTTTAAATAAGAAAATAAAAAATAATTGTCATTATGATTAATTTTATCGATATTCTCTTAATTATTGTTGATCTTTTAACAGGTGGAAAGACTCACAAAGGACTTCAGCGTTTATCTTACTAAGGATGGCCGTATCTCCATGGCTGGCGTGACGTCGAAAAACGTAGAATATCTGGCGCATGCAATGCACGAAGTTACCAAGTAACTTCCTCTACACTATTGGCAACATACTATCATTCACCCAAAACCGCCTTGTCAATATCCAATAATAATATATAGCGCCCACTATCTCTATTTTATTGTATACGAATTGAACAATTCAAAGTAACATTTAATCAAGATCATGGAAAAATATGTAAGAACCACACAGCACGGATATGAAATGATATGTTCTTCAACATTCTTAGATTTATTAGATATCCACTTAGTTTCTAAAAATATACGCAAATAGCATAATCTATGTGCCGTTGTATAAATATATTGTACAGTAGCAAATAATTTATCATACAATATATATATATATTACAGATTAGGATTTAATGAAAAAGAGTTATCTTTACTTTCGTAATCTTTTTGATAATATTTTAATATTGATGATAAGTATATTTTTTTATATTTTCTTCAAAGAAAAGAAAATGTTTTTTTTTATCATATCCTGGCTGTATGGAGATAAAGTAATTATTGTAAATTATATAACTCGTATAATACGAGTGAGCAATGCGAGTTGCAAATATTCGAATGTCAAACATTTGTTGCAGCTGTGTATACATTAGATTCCAGTAAAAAGCGCTTGTTTTGTAATATAATCCTTTTATAATTAGCATTTAAATCAGTCATTTTTTATTCTAAGATCATCGGGATTAAGCATTTCCTCTATTCTAAGTTCTTGCAATTCTCAATTCTATTTGAATAATATAGAAAAATGTCTTTCATTTATTCTCATTCTAACATGATCATTTGAAACTAAAAAGTTCAATAATAAGATAATTATTTGACAAACGAGACTCGGATTTGATTCTCGATTCCTGTATGCTCTAATGGAAAATGTTTCCACCATTATTGTCCAGTGAAAAGATTGGAAATTTGTAACAATAAAATCAATTGATACGAAGAATGCTTATTAGAACTAATTGATCTTTTAGGAAGAAAATTAAATATAAAAGTTAGAAATTTATTACTAACAAGAAGAAGAAAAATATGATTACTTAGTCAAATGGCAAATGTGAGTAGTGGGAAAGCAATGTGAGGCAGCACAAAAACTTGTTAGGTTGAAGAAAAATAAATGACTCAGAATAGAGGAAAATTTAGAAGAACAGAATGTGACTGTATTATATGTATTAGGTTGGCCAATAAGTCCGTGCGGTTTTTTACTTATAAATGTTAC